GCGTCAGTTTTTTCTTTTTCCTTTTTATTTTTTATTTTTTTTCGCAAGGAATACCTACACGTTGTAGTTTGAGAACCTGAATTGGCTTGCCATCAAGTTTTACAAAAACGTCGAGAGTGTTTTTATGTAACAGAACCTTATTAATGTTCCTAAAATGTCTCAGATAATGCTTATTTATGTCATGTTAATATTCTTTTTTCCCTGTATAGAACTGTGTTTTTCAGAATAAGATCCTATAAGGAGATTTAGTTAAAAAGTTTTTTAAACAATTATAAAGAGGAAAACTCCCCATGGACCCCAAATGAGGGGACCCTGTACATGAACAGTGCAACACCTAGTGAGGTGTCAAGCCCTCACTGGGTGTTGCACTGTTCATGAACAGTGCAGCACCTAGTGAGGGCTTGACACCTCACCTGTCCCCTACAAGGTCCCCTCATTTGGGGTCCCTGTAGCATCACTCTTATAAAGAAATAGGTCAGATATTCGTCAAGGATAACTCAATATACACTTTATAACTCTTTATATTACGACGCCACTTGCGCATCAGGGAAATTTTGATCAAGAACGAAACTCAAACCATTCTCGACAAGTTTCCTCTACAAGCGTACGTTCTAACTGTTGTGGCATAAAGCTCTTAAAAGATTCGCGTTGATCGTTTCTAATAAATAAGCCTTCGATTTCATACCTCAACAATTATCTCAACAATTATCGTTGACATTTATATCAATTCATCCAAAGTTCTATTAACTGGATCTTGCCGTGTATCCCCCGAAGTTGTTTAGACAATATCATGAATCATTATGAACTAATAAAATACGAAAATATTTTAAACTTCTGAAGAAATTATAATCCCTTCCAATTATTCGGAACCTATAAAAGTGCAAAGAAAAATTCCTCAAGGACCCAAAATATGGGACCAATAGATGGGACAAGTAAGGTATCTCCCACCTATTGGATAATGAGTTGGCCATCATTAATGATGGTCAACTCATTATCCAATAGATAGGAGACAACTCATTTGTCCCCTCTATTGGTCCCATATTTTGGGTCCATGTAACAAAGCTCAAGTGCAAAATGTTACAGCAGCATGCTTCGCTCTACTTCGCACATCGACGCCATCCCATTCCCACAAATGTACGACAAACGCAGGCTTTTACGCAAAAAAGCCCACCATCGCAATAATGACGTGGCAGCCATGCCAAAACCCCACGCACCCGAACCTCTCAGGCTCGGACAACCGTTTGCACTCCCGAGCCAGACCCCCAAAAAAAAACCCAATAACAAAAAACAAACCCCCACGAAATTACCAAATCCCAATAAACAATAGAGGGGAGAAGCACTCTCCTTGATGCTACTCATTTTCTTCAGCTTCTCTACCAAGCCAAAATCATCACCTCCACCTCTCTCTCTCTCTCTCTCTCTCTCTCTCTCTTCCTTCCTTCATCCCCAAGTCTCATCTCTCTCTCTCTCTCTCTCTCTCAGGACCTCCATTAAAGCGCTCACGCCCTTCCCACCCCAAACAAACAGAGCAAGCTGTAATCTGCTGCACCCCTTCACGGAAAAGCACCGCGAAAAAGCAAGCGCTCAACCACGGCCGCTTATAAACCCACCCCCTCCTCCAACCCGAACAAAAAACTCATTTCGCTATAATTATTAATAGTAACTAAAGCAAGATGAAGGCCTTCGTGTTTTTCTCGTTTTTCGCCGTTTTCATCGTCCCTTCCTCCCTCTCGATCCTCGACCCGGTCGATTTCCTCGCCCTC